TTCCATTAGCTTAGCACCCGATCGTTTAGATGTTGCTATTGCTTTCTTCATGACTTATACATGTTCCTATGACTATGTGATTATGCAACTCCCGTTTGCCGAAGGAACACTTTGTGTGCTACCAAACGTCACAACTTAACTGGGTGATTATAAAGGATCTCTACAGGTGTCTCCAAAGGTACATGTTGGGTTGGCGTATTTCGAGATTAGGATTTGTCACTCCGATTGTCGGAGAGGTATCTCTGGGCCCTCTCGGTAATGCACATCACATAAACCTTGCAAGCATTGCAACTAATGAGTTAGTTGTGAGATGATGTATTACGGAACGAGTAAAGAGACTTGCTGGTAACGAGATTGAACTAGGTATTAAGATACCGACGATCGAATCTCGGGCAAGTAACATACCAATGACAAAGGGAACAGCGTATGTTGTTATGCGGTCTGACCGATAAAGATCTTCATAGAATATGTGGGAGCCAATATGAGCATCTAGGTTCCGCTATTGGTTATTGACCGGAGACGTGTCTCGGTCATGTCTACATTGTTCTCGAACCCGTAGGGTCCGCACGCTTAAGGTTTCAATGATAGTTATATTATGAGTTTATTAGTTTTAATGTACCGAAGTTAGTTCGGAGTCCCGGATATGATCACAGACATAACGAGGAGTCTCAAAATGGTCGAGACATAAAGATTGATATATTGGACGGAAATATTTGGACACCGAAAGTGTTCCGGGGAAGTTTCGGATAAAATCGGAGTACTGGGGGGTTACCGAAACCCCCCGAGGGGTTAATGGGCCTCATGGGCCTAAAGTGGAGAAGAGGAGGGGCGGCCAGGGCAGGCCGCACGCCCCCTCTCTTCCTAGTCCGAATTGGACAAGGAGGGAGGGGCGGCACCCCCCTTTCCTTCCTCTCCTCTCTCCCTTCCTTCCCCCTCTCCTACTTGGACAAGGAAAAGGAGGGAGTCCTACTCCCGGTAGGAGTAGGACTCCTCCCTGGCGCGCCTCATCATGGCCGGCCGCCCCTCCCCCTTGCTCCTTTATATACGGGGGCAGGGGGGCACCTCTAGACACAACAATTGATCCGTGAGATCTCTTAGCCGTGTGCGGTGCCCCCCTCCACCATAATCCTCGATATTATTGTAGCAGTGCTTAGGCGAAGCCCTGCGATGGTGGAACATCAAGATCGTCACCACGCCGTCGTGCTGACGGAACTCTTCCCTGACACTTTGCTGGATCGGAGTCCGGGGATCGTCATCGAGCTGAATGTGTGCTAAAACTCGGAGGTGTCGTAGTTTCGGTGCTTGATCGGTCGGGCCGTGAAGACGTACGACTACATCAACCGCGTTGTTATAACGCTTCCGCTTTCGGTCTACGAGGGTACGTAGATTACACTCTCCCCTCTCGTTGCTATGCATCACCATGATCTTGTGTGTGTGTAGGATTTTTTTGAAATTACTACGTTCCCCAACACTATATCTCCACCTCTCTATGTTTCAAACACGATAAAATTGCAAGAAACTGTTTATACTATGCATTGGCCTTTACTTTCTGTGCATGAATTGTTCTTTTATGACATGCCAATGCATAGGAAGAGAGTTAGACTTCGTCATTACATGATATATGTTACTTTGTGCTCACTACTAAATTACAAATCATTGCTAAATAAAATTGGCTTTGATATACCTTGGGATCCGGGTGGATTCACTACTTGAGCACTATATGCCTAGCTTAATGGCTTTAAAGAAAGCGCTGCCAGGGAGACAACCCGGAAGTTTTAGAGAGTCATTTATTTCTGTTGAGTGCTTTCATATAGTTTAAAAACAACAAAAATAAAGGGGGGAACCCAAGACTTTTTAAAAAAGGAAAGTGAAAGTGAGAAAGACAAGCACTGTTGAAGTGGGAGAGCTCCTTGAACTTTGTTCATGCTCACGGCAACTTTGTGAATCTTGATTACAGAAACTTCTCAACAAAAATAATTATGCCCTTGTACAATTCCATTGTATTATAAAAATAATGTGCCAAGGTTTGCCTTTAGGATGTTTACGACGCTTGTTGGTTTGTGCGGTGCAGGACAGAAACTTTGGCTGTAGTGCATGAATTTTAATTTTTTTACTGGAACATCAAATGGTTCTGATTCTTTTTGCACTGTCTTGCTGTAAAAATTTTAATTTTGGCAGAATTTTTCAAGTATCAGAAGTATAGTGAATGTTCAGATTGCTACAGACTGTTCTGTTTTAGACAGATTCTGTTTTTGATGCATAGTTTGCTTGTTTTGATGAAACTATCAATTTATATCAGTGGATTAAGCCATGAAAAAGTTATATTACAGTAGACAAAATGCAAAAACAAAATATTAATTGGTTTGCAACAGTACTTAGAGTAGTGATTTGCTTTATTATACTAACGGATCTTACCGAGTTTTCTGTTGAAGTTTTGTGTGGATGAAGTGTTCGATGATTGAGAAGGTCTCGATGTGAGAAGAAGGAAGAGAGGCAAGCGCTCAAGCTTGGCGATTCCCGAGGCACACCAAGTAAATATTCAAGGAGACTCAAGCGTCTAAGCTTGGGGATGCTGGGGAGGCATCCCCTCTTTCTTCAACAAGTATCGGTATGTTTTCGGATACGTTTCGTTCATGCGATATGTGCAATCTTGGAGCGTCTTTGCTTTAGTTTTCATGTTTCTTTTTTGCACCATGCTAGTATGAGATAGTCCTTGGTTAGAATGCTCTTTGCACTTCACTTATATTCTTTGAGAATGGCTTTATAGAATGCTTCATGTGCTTCACTTATATCATTTGAAGTTTGGATTGCCTGTTTCTCTTCACTTAGACAACTGCCATTTGTAGAATGCTCTTTTGCTTCACTTATATTTGTTAGAGCGTGGGCATATCTTTTGTAGAAAGAATTAAACTCTCTTGCTTCACTTATATCTATTTAGAGAGATGACAGGAACTGGTCATTCACATGGTTAGTCATAAAATCCTACATAAACTTGTAGATCGCTGAATATGATATGTTTGATTCCTTGCAATAGTTTTGCGATATAAAGGTGGTGATATTAGAGTCGTGCTAGTTGAGTAATTGTGAAATTGAGAAATACTTGTGTTGAGGTTTGCAAGTCCCGTAGCATGCACGTATGGTGAACCGTTATGTAACGAAGTCGGAGCATGAGGTGTTTATTGATTGTCTTCCTTATGAGTGGCGGTCGGAGACGAGCGATGGTCTTTTCCTACCAATCTATCCCCTAGGAGCATGCGCGTAGTACTTTGTTTCGATGACTAATAGATTTTTGCAATAAGTATGTGAGTTCTTTATGACTAATGTTGAGTCCATGCATTATACGCACTCTCACCCTTCCATCATTGCTAGCCTCTCTAGTACCGTGCAACTTTCGCCAGTACCATAAACCCACCATATACCTTCCTCAAAACAGCCACCATACCTACCTATTATGGCATTTTCATAGCCATTCCGAGATATATTGCCATGCAACTTCCATCATCATCATATACATGACTTGAGAATTTATTGTCATATTGCTTTGCATGATCGTAAGATAGCTAGCATGATGTTTTCATGGCTTGTCCGTTTTTTGATGTCATTACTACGCTAGATCATTGCACATCCCGGTACACCGCCGGAGGCATTCATATAGAGTTATATCTTTGTTCCAGATATCGAGTTGTAATATTGAGTTGTAAGTAAATAAAAGTGTGATGATCATCATTATTAGAGCATTGCCCCAAAAAAAAGAGAGGCCAAAGAAGCCTAAATAAAAAAAGGGGGGCCAAAGAAGCCCGCAAAAAAAGAGAGAAAGGGGCAATGTTACTATCCTTTTACCAAACTTGTGCTTCAAAGTAGCACCATGTTCTTCATATAGATAGTCTCTTGAGTTATCACTTTCATATACTAGTGGTAATTTTCATTATAGAACTTGGCTTGTATATTCCAACGATGGGCTTCCTCAAATGCCCTAGGTCTTCATGAGCAAGCAAGTTGGATGCACACCCACTTAGTTTCAGTTTGAACTTTCATATACTTATAGCTCTAGTGCATCCGTTGCATGGCAATCCCTACTCCTCACGTTGATATCTATTAATGGGCATCTCCATAGCCCATTGATACGCCTAGTTGATGTGAGACTTTCTTCTTTTTTTGTCTTCTCCACATAACCCTCACCATCATATTCTATTCCACCTATAGTGCTATGTCCATGGCTCACGCTCATGTATTGCGTGAAAGTTGAAAAGGTATGAGAACGTCAAAAGTATGAAACAATTGCTCGGCTTGTCATCGGGGTTGTGCATGATGTGAATATCTTGTGTGGTGAAGATGGAGCATAGCCAGACTATATGATTTTGTAGGGATAAGCTTTCTTTGGCTATGTTATTTCAATAAGACATAATTGCTTGGTTGGTATGCTTGAAGTATTGCTTGGTTGTCATCGAGGAAGTAGGTGTCAGCCAAACATTAAAGAAAAAAAACTAGGAAGGCTGCTGTGAATCTACGTAATTCCAGCAGGCGCAAAAGACACTCTAATAGTGCTCTATTACCTGCAGCAACACGAAACCGAAAATACAAGAAAATGTGCGAGGATAGGGTACAAAGGAACATGTGTGGAACACCTACAGTGTTTCTATATATGTACGGCCATAATATGAAAATATCACACTTCTTATTTCTTAACGGTACACGTATTGGAAATTTGCGCCTTTCGTGCTAAAACTATCAGGAAACCACAGGAGGCCATCAGGTTCAGGAACTCAGTTTCAATTTTGAATGTGCTTTGCCAATGCTGGTGCTGGTAAGTGATAACCAGGCCAAAAGACCTTGCGAAGGTAGACGTAGAGATGTATTAGCAGAAAAGGTACACCATTGTGCGTCCATATACTAATATTAAGGAAATCGATTTGTTTAAGCAGAGTATCTTCGAAATAGCTCTTATCCCTTTCTCAACATTGTGCAAGATGTGAACTGCGGTACCAAGGTGGCATTATAATTCAAAGCAAAGTAATCAAATAACAAGATAAAAATATATGCTTACGGCTGCTTGAAGGATCATACTGCCATGCGCGCACGATCAGCTGGTTTGGTGGCTCCGGCATATCGAATTCACCGGATTCCACAACCTTCCTCCGTCGCAGGTCCACGGCAAAGATGCAGGAGCCGAGGAAGAAGTAGAGCTTGTCTGGGTCTGCGGGGCCGAGGAGCGCAAGCGCGGGGATGCTCCCTGGCAGCATGGCGTCGAGGTAGCTCTCGTCGGCCCAGATGTCCGGCAAGGGCACGCGGCGCTCGGGGTTCCATTTACCAGCCTCGGTGAGCGCCCACGTGCTGACCACCGGGGCGGCGGGATCGCCATGGATCTGCACGTACCTCAGCCTTCCGCTGCTCGCCTTCACGCAGCTGTGGGAGGCCCTGTTGGCCAAATTTGCCACTTTTCCCGGAAGCGGGTCGATGATCGTCGGAAGCGGGACGTGTAGCAGCTCCGGCTTGTCGGAGTAGGGGTCACAGGCGAGGAGGCCGTACGAGAGCTCCACCCACCAGAGCATCCCTCCGTGGAAGACGACCCCCTCGCAGAACCACTGCCGGTGCAGCGGCGGCGAGTAGGCGAGCTCCGTCACGGCCCACTTGTACTGCCCCACCGTGTAGCGGAGGAGCGTGGCGCGGCCGGAGCCGCCGCCGGAGGGCTGGAGCTCGGCGACCACGCAGCTGTCGCCCCTCGTCATTAGGCCGACGTTGGCGCCGTCGAAGCCCATGGGGCAGTTGTGCTCGCGGAAACAGGTGGCCTCACCTGTGCGCGCGTGGCAAAGGTGGTAGGTGACCTCCCCGCTAGGCTCCGTGGCGCAGAGGAGGAGCAGGCCGGAGGGGTCCGCAGCGGCGACGTAGGGGTAGCTGGGGAGGCAGGGCGGCGGGGCGATGCGGAGCGACACGGTGAGGATTGAGGCGCGCGGGAGCTCGTCACAGGCGACGGAGACGTCGGTGCCCGGCGGGAAGGTGCGCTTCGCCTCCTTGTCCTTCACAACTTTAGGGATTCGAGCCAGGATGGACCACCGCTCCGGCAGCGGCGGCGGCGGCATGGCTGGCCCGGAGGGATTTGACCGATTAGGGTTAGGCCAACTCCAATGCTGGACCCTGATTCGTCCGAGTCTGTCCGTTCTGGTCCAAACTGTTCCTAAAAAATATTATCCGGCTTGACCGATTTCGGGCATAAATTTTGGTCGGGCTTTAGGGTAGACACGCACGCGCCGTCTCGCCATTCGCCTAGGGCCCACGTGTCAGCCATCCAACTACCTCCCACCGATCCCATTAAATCCATATGAATGGATGGGCCCGCCGGTCAGCCAGCCAACCGCGTCAGGGTGCATCCTTTTTTGTGGTGAAGCCGTGGACCCCTCAGCCAGCCAGCCAGGCCAGTCCACTTCCACTTCCCCACCCCGTCTCCACGTCATTGCTCCCTTCGTGTTCGACACCAAACCCTAGCCTAGCGGCAGCACCCCACCTCGCTCCCCGCCAGCCGCCGCAATGGGCTTTTGGAAGTGGGTGACAGGCAAGAAGGGCAAGCACGACCGCGAGACGGGCCCGTCATTCGCCTCGCCTGGAAGCGTGGCCACCCACTCCACCTCGCATGACGCATTCTTAATCTCCCGTCCGGCGACTCCTGTATGCTTCTGCCCGTACATCAAGATGGAGGTCTGCCACCGGTACTGGCTGATTGGAACTCCGCTGTCGTGGTCCGATGCCCACCTCCCCAACGCGTGGCATCTGAGCCCGGATCGGATGCCGGACCATTTTGGGGGCCGCTGCCCCACCTCTGGAGATCACCTCCCTACATTGACCTGACCAAGGATGATGACTACGAGGATGGTGGCGCCTGAAGACGGCGACATCATCGACAGCGCGGGCGGGCGGCAGATCTACCTTTTTAAGTTTCTTTTTAAAATTCGAACTTAAGTACTATGTGCGGGCCGTGACGAAGA